TTAATTTAGACAGGAGGAGGTTTGGGATGATGGTGTTAAAAGCCGAGCTGAAGTCCACAAACAGAATCCTCACATAAGTCCCTGGTCTGTCTAGATGTTGCAGGATGTAGTGCAGTCCCATGTTGACTGTATCATCCACAGACCTGTCTGCCTACCGAGCAAGCTGCAGGGGGTCCAGTAAGGGTCCAGTGATGTCCTTCAGATAAGCCAAAACCAGTCTTTCAAATGATTTCATGGCCACAGACGTTAGAGTCACAGGTCTGTAGTCATTAAGTCCAGTAATTTTGGGTTTCTTTGGGACGGGGATGATGGTGGAGCGTTTGAAGCATGAGGGGACTTCGCACAGCTCCAGTGATCTGTTGAAGATCTGTGTGACAATGGGGGCCAGCTGGTCAGCACAGGATTTCAGACAGGCTGGTGTCACACCATCTGGGCCTGGTGCCTTTCTTCTCTTGTTCTTTCTAAAGACCTGACGCACATCATCTTCACTGATCTGGAGTGCTGGAGGGGGGAAGAGAGGGGTTGCCAGAGGTGTGAATGGTGTTTTTTAAAACCTGCAATAGAACTAATTCAGATCGTCTGCCAGTTGTTGATTCAAGCCACTGCCACTGATTCTGGATGAACTCACAAAGACACTCCAATCAGTGAGGTCGAAGCAGGCTTGTAAATCCCTGCTCTTTTTACAGTCCTTAATACAGGTTTAGATGATTTCAGTTTCTGCCTGTAGGTCGGTATAAGATGAACCAAACAGTGATCAGAGAGCCCCAAAGCTGCCCGTGGGACAGAGTGATATGCATTCTTTATTGTGGTGTAACAGTGATCCAGTATATTACTGTCTCTGATGGGACACGTAACATGCTGTCTGTATTTTGGCAGTTCACGGGAAAGATTTGCTTTATTAAAGTCTCAGAGAATGATTAAAACAGAGTCCGGGTTGTTTCTATTATGCACACACACATAATAGAAAATTGACCTTTTTTGCATGTGCAATTTCACAAATGTCAGCTGCAGTTAATGACTTTGCATGTGAAGCACTGCAAAGAAAACCTTAATTTAAAAGAAAAATCTCTCATTGTAGAGGATGGTGGACAGTCTTAAGGCAGAGAATGATCAGCTGAAAACAGGAAGTGCTCCATCATCCCTTGTCCTCCCTTGCGGCCCACCTTCTACTTCCACCTCCCAGCCATCTGGTCTGGCCAGCTTCCTGAACTCCAACCAAACCAAACCACCCATGAGCCTCACCAAGTCCTTCAGCCTCAGCCTCAATGAGTGCTCCAACACTGGTGAGTTCCTTTAGTTGTGTCATCTGATACTGTTGTTTGCTTTAAACTTGAAAGCTTGGTGGCTCCAAGCATTGGATCCCATTACTAATCTAGATATGTCACTGTCTGATGGAGTCAAGTCATTATTTCTATCTATCTCACAGACATTGCTCCTATGGAGTTACTGAGTCTGCCATCTCAGAGAGATGAGGCCTTAACTCGTGTAGTGGTCCGTATAGCTGACCAGCAAGTGTCCAGAGAGGTGAACACGTGAAAACAGAATTGAGATAGCTTTAAATACATGAACATTAGATCATATGCACTAAATAAGCAATCTGATGTACAATCAGCAGGTGAGGCAGCAGGATTTTTACATCGGCTCTGTGAGGATTCATGGGAAAACGGAGTGGACTGTGTTAGACATGGACATTTCCACAGCTTTTGGGGTAAGATCTCATTCTGTGGTGTAAAGATGGCTATAAATGTTTAAATATATGCAAAAACAAGGAAAATCATAATTTTACAATCGTAATTTAGTTTGCAAAAAGATGTACGTAATGTAATAATGTAATTATGTTTTACTATGCAAATAACACCATGTCATTGCTGTTGATATTTAATGGCAAACATATTATCAAAAGTCAATTGGTGATTTTCAGTATTTTTTTCCTTTATTTATTTATTTTTTTATATTTTATTTTATATTTATTGTAAATTGTTTTAAATATATATTTTTTATTTAATTGATATTTTTCAATTGATATTTCATTAAAATATATGTGTCGATGTGTGTTTTTACTATACAGTATATTAGATAGATAGATATGTAATTTAATGTAATAAATGTAATTTCATGTATTTAATTATAATATTTATTTAATCTAACGTGTTCTTTGTATTCGGATGTCAGAACTACATTTCGCAGGTGGATCCCAGTGCGAGTATGGGACTGTCTGTCGACTCTATCCACAGTTACATTATTAATCAGAGCAGGAGGGTGCTTGGAGCCGAAGCCCCAGAAAGTTCACCCTGTGACTGTTTAAAAAAGGGTCCTGGACTCATCACTGTCACCCTTAAAGGTGAAAAACTCACACTTTCAATTTCTCACTCTCTTAAGCAACTTCTCTTACACCTCATTTTATACACCCCGTCCTACACAGGTACAATGTGAGGCTTCAAGCGTCAAGTCGTTGTGTGTTTTGCAGAGATCACAAATGCTAGTATTGCCAGTTTGTAGTGGAGCGAGATTGTGGACCAATGAGATCTGACTGTGGGCGTAGCTACTCAGTGTTTTGTGACTAAAACAGAAACCAGTTAAGAGGCAAAATGTCTTGTCATTGACACTGTCGACCGTCATGGCTGGTTACTCTATTTGTCTACTAAATGTGTCTCCTTCCTGTTTTTTGAATTGTTCTGGCACTGGTAACTGACCTCTGGTTCACCTGAACTCACTCTCTGTTCCAGGTTTTAAGGAGAAGTGTGTGGACAGTCTGGTGTTTGAGACGATTATCCCCAAGCCCATGATGCAACACTACATAAGCCTGCTTCTGAAGCACCGACGGCTGGTACTGTCGGGCCCCAGCGGCGCGGGAAAGACCTACCTCACCACCCGACTGGCTGAGTACCTGCTGGAGAGGAGCGGCCGTGACCCCGGCCCTGGCCTTATCACCACCTTCAACATGCACCAACAGACCTGCAAGGTGAAGCCTGGAAATAACACTTCCCTAGGAATCATTGACTTGTTTGGTGTGACCAGCAGTTGTAAAGCCACACTTTTTTCTTCTCTTTCTCAGGACCTCCAGTTGTACCTGTCTAATCTGGCCAATCAGATTGACCGCGATTGTGGTGCTGAGGACATTCCATTGGTCATTATCTTGGATGATATCAGTGACGCGTCTTCCATCACTGACCTGGTCAATAGTGCACTGACCTGCAAATATCACAAATGGTGAGTGAGGAAACTCCTGTGTTATGGAAACACTATTGTGTTATTGGTGAATCTCTCAAAATATCACAATATTTTACCTTAAAATCATATTTTAAGGTAAAACAATATGCATATTATTTGCTGTAGCATAGGGAAAATTAAGCAATTTCACTTTTTACTATTAAGATTATATTATTAGATTTTTTTATGACAATTAAGCACATTTTTGCCCAAGGTCTCTCTACTGTAATGGGAAACAGCACATAATACAAATCATATTTAAATTAAAACCTGCATAAATTAGAGGCAGTACAGTATAACAAATGCTAACATAAATGAATAAACACTTAATTAAAATAATGCATAATTATTTCTGCATTACAGTTATGAGAATATGGTGGAAAATAGCAAAAATTCATAGCATAGCAAAAATTATAAAAAAATACAAAACATTTCTAATTTTATTTTTGCAAAATATAATTTGAAATATTTATTAAATATAATTTGGGGGAGAAATATGACATGGTAGTGTTCCTGGCAGACTTTGTGAAATTCACTCTTTTACAAAAGTTATTCATTGTCAAAATTAAGCTTCTTTTTAAGTATTTTCTTGGATATTTATTTCAGTCCTTATGTCATTGGAACCACCAATCAGTCTGTTAAGATGCCATCCAATCATGGCCTGCATCTCAGCTTCAGGTAAGTTTCTCATCTCTTTAACACTAATTCATTCCAGTTTGTAGATTGTGGTAAGATAACATCATATCATTCTCATAAAGAAATTTGAAATCCCATTTCAATATTCCAACTGTTTGTCTGAAGAATGGTCACCTTCTCCAACAACGTGGAGCCTGCAAATGGGTTCCTAGTGCGTTACCTGCACAGGAAGTTGATCGAGGCTGAGGATGAAAGCACTGTTCACAGTGCTGAGGTGCTGAGGGTTCTGGACTGGGTGCCTAAACTCTGGTACCATCTCCATACCTTCCTGGAGAAACACAGCACCTCAGACTTCCTCATAGGTACAGCTTTACACATTCTGAATGTCTGTTTCATGCATTGTTCTTCAGGAAAAAAATAAAATAAACATATTTAACCATTTATTTCAGCAAATGAATCTGAACCACGCACTGCCTTTCAAAGGTTATATTTGTATTATGGAGTTCTACGCTTCAGCTTTAGTTTTAGCACCGCTCAGACCAAGGTTCCAAAAAGATCTCAGCGATGGCTCTTGTCTTTGCAGGTCCCTGCTTCTTCCTGTCTTGTCCAGTAAAGTTAGCAGAGTTTCGCTCCTGGTTTATTGACCTCTGGAACCAGTCCATTATTCCTTATCTTCAGGAGGGAGCTAAGGATGGTGTGAAGGTAAGTTGTTCATAGGCGGCTGACTACTAAATCAGGGGTGTCCAATCCTTCTCCTGGATGACCACCATCCAGTTGAGTTCAGCTCCAACCCTAACTAAGCACTTCAAGCTCTTCAGGATCACTAAAAACTGTTTTGGAGCTAAACTATGCAGTAAGATGGCTCTCCTCATAAGTGACTGAATTGAAACACACTTCATAAGGAGCAACTCTCTTAATGGTTACTCTTGTGCACCATACAAATAGTGCAAGAGACTCAACACTCCCAGCTGATTTCAACAGCTACGAAGCTAACAACTCTATGCTTGTTTATCTATCTCCATCTTGGTTTTCTGAGGTTTCACTGTCTTTCTTTACTGTATCCCTGGTGAAAAAAATACTGCTTAAGCTAGTTACTACAGGGGTTCTGGGAGACCAGTAAAACATTTAGTTTATTCTGGCTTTTAAGGCCAGGACACACCAAGCCGGCCGTCAGCCAACATAGGGCCATCGGAGAGCATTTGACAGGCTAGTTTTTGCGGTGTGTTCCACACGTCCACTCTCGTGGGGCTCACATCGGCGGCAATTTGCCAGATTCAACATGTTGAATATACAGTATATCTCATATATCCTTGTTTTGGTTGCTTTTTTTTTTAAATGATGAATATAGACTATTGATAGTTGCTGAAATAGACAATTAACTCCTTACACGCAGGCGCAAAACTCACATGTTAGTTTGGTGTCGGCTGTAGTCTGTGCAGTGTGTTGAAGCACAGCTTTTTTGTCCAGACACAGCTGACGCGAAGTGACTTTCGTCGCCACTAGTTCTTGGCTTACCAAGTCGGCTTGGTATGTCCCAGCCTTTACATTTTGGGCAAAAGTAGGCACTCAATATGTTTTGGAACAGAGTTTATCTCCAGGCGCGACATAAGTGTTTTTTGCTAGTTTTAGCCTGACGCAGTTATCATTTTCATGTCCCGCGCCACGCTGTTTAAATAGTAACTGCATTTGCACCCATTTGTGCGCTCATGGGAGTGCTGGTCTGAAAATGAGGTGTGCTCAGACGCATTATTGGCGCGTTGCTATTTTGAAGCAACTGAAATAGACCACTCCATTGACCAACTAAAACCTAGTCTAAAGTCAATGGCACAGTAGTTTTTTTGTTATTTAAAGAGCGTGTTAGTATATGCGGGTGCACAATGCGTGTACACTCTGCTTATTACACACACAGGGACGCGCAGCAGCACGCAAACATGCCAAATATTAAAAATGAAAGGATTACAATGTAAAAGATTATTATTTTGTAGGCTACATAAATCTAAAAATGCCTACTTGTCATAATGGATAGTCATTGCGTGTATCAGAATTAGGCTACCTATTTGCTCGCGCACGAGCAGATCCTTTTCATCTCGGGAGATGCGTTCTGTCTTTGCGCTTGCAATTTCTGCCATGTAAATAGCAAATTCGCCATGGTGCGAGCGCAACTGGCTCTTAAAGGGAATGGGAGATGAAACTCTCATTGGTTTATTGCACGTTATGCCCAAAGCACACCCATTACTCATTAAGAGAATAGAAAACTAGTAAAAGTGGATTCAGACACGCCCTAAGTGCACCTGCGCCGTGCGCATTAGACCTTGCACTTAGATTGTTAAAATAGGGCCCATTGTGTCTGGTCAAAGTGCAGTGAAGTCTTGGAGCTCAATCTCTGCAATCACATAATTCAGGTCCATGGTCAGAAAGCAGCATGGGAGGATCCAGTGGAGTGGGTGAGGGATACGCTGCCCTGGCCTTCAGCTCAACAGGACCAGGCCAAACTCTTTCACCTCCCTCCGCCAACCACCGGCCCCAACACTGCTCCAACACAGCAGCCTAGTGACGACAGGGTCACATCCAACAAGGACACATCTCTGCCCACAATGGAGTCCGATCCACTGGTGAGTGTCCAGTTCAGCTACACCTGAACCTTTGTGAACATGTCTGCATTTGTTCTGACAAGCTGTCTTTGTTCTGTCCATCATTCAGATGGCGATTCTGTTGAAACTCCAGGAATCTGCCAACTACATTGAAACACCCGAACGGGATATTTCAGGCAACCCCACTTTCTAGGCTGAGCTAAATGACTTGAGAGCTTCCTAATGGCTAGGGCTGTTACAAAACACTGTTCTGTACAGCTGATTTGCACCTCCTGTCTCCTTCAAAAGGTTTGTGAGAGTCAAGAAGAGGAACTGTCAAGAACATCCATGCCAAGAAGTCTGAAAGAAAAACTAAAGAACTGATCCTGCCAGATCTGAGCGAGAATCTTTTTTGCACTGTTGTCTTAACCAGACCTTCCTTTGCTTATTTAACCTGCAAGTTGCATGGCAATACTTGCAACTGGGGATTGTGAAGATTGGATTATTGTGAAGATGAAATGTTCTTGTCTGTCATACTGGGAACAAAATTTGCTCCACATTTGTTCGATATTACTTTTGTTTTGGGTAATATCTGACCATATGGACCAAAATCTATTTATTCTTGTTTGCAAAAGTACCGACATTCCATCCTCAAAATCAAGTTGCCTGAACCCTGTACACAAAGGTGCGGTTACATTTAGACCAACTCGCATGGATGCAAAACATAACGTACAAGATGGTGCTTAGAATTCAGCCTTAAATGATGTCCCTCCATATATCATTAAGTCAGTCCCATAGCAATCTGATTATTACTCTATATTACCTCACAGTTTGCATAGTGATGCAGTTTTAAGGTGCAGTATATACCCATAACCAGGTTGCATTCATTCCTATCAAACACACAGACATCGGACAGATGTAGACTGTAGATCTCTGAGAGGATGCACTTTGATTCTTAGCTTTCAATCAAGAGCACTTACTGGTTGTTCAAGGTTTGTAGGTTGTTCGTTTCAATGGTGATTTGCAGCAACAAAGCAACCAAAAGTCATTTGTTTTGAGTTTGAGGCGACATGAGCAATAGATACTGTTGGTGATTGACAAAGTTCAGTTATATGCAAATATACCAATGGGAGAACAGAAAATGAAGCTCATGTGATCTGCCACCTGATATTGTTGGTCGTTTATTGCCTACAAAACTTTAAGGCGGCACTTGGAGATGCAGCAGAGCTGAGCATGACTGCAGTATGGCTCATGTGATGCACCGCCTGATACAGTCGGAGGGCGACCTCAGGCGATTTAATCATTGTCAGTAATAACAGAGGTGCTGTTACCGGTGCACGAGAACAGTATGCAACATCTTACTTTCAGTAACTATCTATGTGCGTCCAGTGCATTTGACCTTATCAAGATAATCAAAGGCTTCTCACTGATACTCCAAACCCACTTGGCTTTGTGCTGTAGCATTACTGTAGCAACTAATGTAGGCCTTGTTTCCACCTGGTATTAACATGCATTTCAAATGCATCTAATGTGACCTTTTGTGATTGGATTTTGTTGAGTCATTCCCCTTTTATTTTGGAATTCTCAACATCTCTTTTGCAAGAGCACCAAGTGTGGCAAACAAATACCATGGAATGAAGGAACCCATGTTGCGCAGCTTACAAGCGAGCGGGAATGGAAGAAAATGAAAAAAAAGATAAAGATGGCAGCTGCAATTTGGATCATAATCTCTTGTTTATGATGAAATTGCTTAAGTTTTAGCTTCAGTTTGAGTCGCTTGTTTTGTGTGCTTTCTTTCAACATGTCTCAAAACGATCATGTGTTAGTTAAGGGTGGGTGGCGTCTAGGCATCCAGGACAAATAAGAATTTACATTGTATATGTGATGTGGTCACATGCATTTTTGACTACCTCCATTTGTGGTTTCAGTGATTCGATCACAGTTTTAGACCCTGTTTACACCTGTATTTAGTACCGGACACTTGTGATCGGATCACCAAAAACACATGTTAATACAAGGTGGAAACAGGGCAGTAAATATACTGGATATTGACTCCACTGCCTGAACAAATGAAGCCAATTTGAGCTGCTGCAAAATAAGATGCAGATAGATTGGGTTTGAAAACAGATCAGGATTGTTTGCAGTGTGAACAAAGCCAAAATGGTTTAAACAATTTATGTCTGGAGGAGGTTTAGTCATTTGTGTTTGGACTTTGTTATGTCTAGAGGTTCAATCACATCAGTGTTCACTTACAGTTTTACACGCACTTATGTCCTTTGGTGTTTTGTAACAATGTAGCCAGTTTTGGATTTAACATTGCATTTGTTTTTATTTCTGGCAACTTCAAGTCACAGGACGACCCCATATCAGGGTCTTTTACAAACTCTCATATCATTCCAGTAACAATTGTAACACTGACAGAATATCTTGTAATTCAATTCACATTTAAAAAATAACAATGGTGGATTGCAACTCGTGAATGCGTTTGCTATTGGCTGATTACAGGTGCTCCAGATCTGTATGTGCATGAAAGCTTCAACTCTGAGGAACATTATAGCTAAAAAAGACACCAAAGGATGTGTTGGCAACCAGTCTACAAGAGCAAAATGATTTTTTAACCTAAATTACCAAACTGAAACTGAATTTCTCATGTATATGTACTAACCGGTTAGTACTAGCACTATAGCAATGTCATGAAACTGTGCCGTTGTAATCTCAGAATGTAAATTGGATCAAAACTTAAGTTTGCCAACACACCTAGTGCTCTTGATGATGCTTGCCGCCTCTTGTGCTCGTGTTTACGTGTCCTATTACTGTCAGATGTAGCTCTCCAAATGAATAACCAGAGGAGGATTTTTTTAAAGGTCTTTTTTGTACATGTTTGTTTTTACTAAAGGATCTAAGGCTGACATTTGTAAATAGATTTACAAAAAAATTGCCAAAAAAAATACAAACAAAAAAGGTCTTGGGTAGAATAAACAGAGCAAGGTTAAAATATCACAACTATGAACTGAATGTGTCTGGTTAGATATACATTACAGCGAGGATCGCGGTCATCTCTCAGTTATCGCCTTTCCTGTAGAGGCAAGTTAACTGCCACAAAGTAACTAGATCATGTTGCCTATGTACATGTTTCACTATAAAAGTGTCCTCCGTATTCTCTTCCGGATCGTACAAGGTATTGAATGGCTTTTACGATTGAGTTGGCCATAACAACCCATTAAAAAACAGTCAAATGAAGTGCTTTAGCGGTGCTTCAGCTCACACAAGTACCTCAAAATGTGTCTTAACAGCTCATCGTATGATCGTAAACTTCCCTTAACCGCTTAAGGATAGTTTGGGGCTTTGGGGAAGATTGTCATGAAAATGTGCCTAATATAAGCCAACTCGTTGGACATTGCAATACCTAAACTATTATGTTTTGCAAGGGATTGTTTGCTGTGGAGGATAAGAATGCGAGCGAACGTGTCATCCTTTTTTATGCTAGCTTATAAATAACATTGAGATTTGAGCTCGCCGGTAGTCTCGTTTCCAAATGTCCTGGAAATCGAGGCTGCTTTGCCAGCTAGCACAAACTAAAGCCATTTCCCACTGTCTCTCAGATATATTTGCCATCATAGTACAGTGTGCTTTACCATATCTGCTGTCTTGCATATGAACTGATACAGTTTGGACAACCTAAAATGGAGTGTCTAAGTCTTGATTAATTTATTCAATAATTTGTTACTGTTTTACGACTAACAATGCTGAATGTTCAAGCAGGCACATTAATAATACAAAACCTGTGCTTTAAAAACTCACTTTTTCCACTTGTTTTAGATTAAACGGGTTCAATATTGTTTAGTCAAAACAGATTCATGATTTGTCACTATGCAGCGTTGGAATAACATTGTAGAGTTGAGGTGTTAGTACCAATGACAGAAAACAATGGCATATGTAATAAGCTAATGTGCAGGTTTGATGGTGTTTTAATGTTGATGTGTATCACCATTGTTTGTCTGGAAAAACACATTGGACCTACCAAACAAAATCTATGTTTTTCTTTTTGTTCTTCTTCCTCTTTTTTTCCTGCTTTCTCTTTAATAAATCTTTCTATTTTGTATAGAACATTGCAATTGTAAACATTGTAAATAGTAAACTCATCCGCGACCACAATCACAGTAAAATATGAAAAGATCCAGCCCTATGATGAGGCACCTTTTGTTATTGTTGGTTTTATTATTATTTTTTGCAAACTGTCTGCTGGAAAGGGGTTATAAAGGCATGTGCTGATCTGAGAGAATTTCTTCCATCAAATATTCACTCACGTTTCCAATAAACTCGTGCCATCCCTACATTGATTTTGTGCTTTTATTTCAGTTTTAAAAAATGTCATTTGGCAATTATTACATTAATGTAATAGAACATGACAGCTGTTTGTATTTTTTATCACTAAATTTCTCAACACAAATATTCCTGTTCTAAAATTATTTTTTAGATTTACATTTAGTCATTTAGCAGATGCTTTTATCCAAAGCGACTTACAAATGAGGACAGGGGTAATAATATGTAAGTGATGTGACAAGTCTCAGTTAGCCTAACGCATAGCAAGCATTTTTTTTCTATAATAAAAAACAAACAAGTAGATAGAATAGAAAAAGAATAGAGAACGCTAGTGTTAGAGGGTCTTTAAAAATAAAACAAGTCAAAAGAATAGAAAAAGAACAGAATACTAGTGTTAGAGGGTCATTTTTATAATAAGAAAACAAGAACAGAGAATGCTAGTGTTAGAGGCGTTTTTTAAAGAAAACTAGTAGTAAGAATAGAAATAGAATAGAGAGTGCAAGTTTTACAGGGTCTTTTTAAAATTAAAATAAAACCAGTCAAAAGAACAGAGAATGCTAGTGTGAGAGGTTAGTCGTTTTTAGATTAGTCTCCCTCAAGTGTCTTAATTTTGTACCTGCAGTAAGGACAGCACTTTGCATTTGCAATTTTAGACGAAATTAAGAAGGCGCCACATTTCAAATACTAGGGATTAAAATCAATAAGGGGTGATTTTAAAAATGAGAAAGGTCAAGTACAATTGCAGTCTGAAATATTTGAACTCTAGTCACGAAATAAGCTTACATGATGCTGAGTTAAGCAATAGATGCTAATAGCTTGAGTAATGAGGTTATTCCTGAGTTGATGAGAACAGATTTATCAAGGCTATTTAAAGAAGAGGAGGAGTCCCCTAGTCGGTATAAATTGAACGTCCCAAAAGACTTTCCCATTTCAAAGATCGGCCGTCCTGTAGAGTTTTCCCCAAGCATCATGCCAGCCAAACCAGCACCTATCAAAAAGTCAGCCAAGAAGGCTGCTGAAAAAGAGGAGAAGCCAGCAGAGCCGGCGCCCGTGCCTGAGGCTGCCCCCGCCGAGGCGCCTCCTGCTGAAGCGGCGCCGGTAGAAGCTCCCGCTGCGGAGGTACCTGCTCCTGAAGGTTGGCTACTCGACGCATCCAAACGCTGCTTTTTTTTATAACAACATCTCATTTAAAAGAACAGTTTGTCGCACTTTGTTGTAAACTGTAAAATTGCTACTCACCTTAACGGTCAAATGAATGATATTGTACACGGACGCCTAACCGATGCAACGTGTTTTTAATGGAAGAAAGCATCAGTTCTGTAGAAGACTCACACACGCCCTCTAATGAACAACATGCGCTACTTCCACTCGCTTCACTAGGAATCTGACGACGTTTTTAGCTCAAATTTACCATAGTAATCTGCCCAAACTTCAAAGTTACTACACTCACTGCGGCTAGCAGTGTTATTTTAGTGTGTTATTTACTAATACCGTTTATTGAGGTACTATTAAAGTTTTTATTAATATTTAATTAAACATGGTTTAATAATCGTTTTAATTTTTATATTGTGTGTGTGTGTGTGTGTGTGTGTTTTTGTGACATATGAGGACATATATTTGTAACGACAAAAGGATATTACAAAGAAGGTGACTTTGTGACTTTGATGATCCTTGAGCCTTGTCTTACAGCAGCATTGTAATTTATACCTATCCTCTAACGTGTACCTAACAACTTCTAACATTTACTTAACATGTAACTCTAGACTCTGCACCTGCTGCTCAGACCCCAGCGTAGGCTAAAGCTATAAAAATTACTTCCTGTAATAGTACAGAGTACAACAGCATTTTTAAGCATCATCACATTTTTATTGTTACATTAACCCATGTCTCAGAATCAAAACAACTCCCTCCCCTTCTGCACTTTGTTTGATCTCTTTGCCAATTTTGACACCTTAACACTGTATGTTTACATGGACAACAATACTCCGATTTTAATACGATTAAGACAACACCGTAGGCTAAAGCTATAAAAATTACTTCCTGTAATAGTACAGAGTACAACAGCATTTTTAAGCATCATCACATTTTTATTGTTACATTAACCCATGTCTCAGAATCAAAACAACTCCCTCCCCTTCTGCACTTTGTTTGATCTCTTTGCCAATTTTGACACCTTAACACTGTATGTTTACATGGACAACAATACTCCGATTTTAATACGATTAAGACAACACTCTGATTAAGAATCTACCATGTAAACAGAGATTTTTGATTACCTTAATCCGGCTAAAGTCATAATCGAAGAAAAACAGAAATCGAATTAAAGGGGTCCTATTATGCTTTTTCACTTTTTTAAATTTTAGTCAGTGTGTATGTTTGGGCATCAAAAAAGATCTAGAAAGTCACAAATCTCAAAGTCCACTCCAAAGGGAGATATTTCATTTTTTAAAAATCCCTTTTCAAGAACTACAACGAACGGCTCGTTTGGACTACACTCTTAAAAATAAAGGTGCTTCACGATGCCATAGAAGAACCTTTTTGTCTAAATGGTTCCATAAAGAACCTTTAACATCTGAAGAACCTTTCTGTTTCACAAAAGGTTCTTTGTGGTGAAAAAAGGTTCTTCAGATTATAAAAACGCAAGAAAGAGATGGTTCTTTAAAGAACCTTTGACTGAATGGTTCTTTGTGGAACCAAAAATGGTTCTTCTATGGCATCGCTGTGAAGAGCCTTTTGAAGCACCTTTATTTTTAAGAGTGTACAGCGTTGATTTCCGGGCTTTGTGATATCACAAAGCGGCGAATTAGAATATCATTAAAATAATTCCCACCTACCGAAATTCGAATGGTTGTGTTAACGTTTGTATTGGGTGTGCCCTCACACTGCTCATGTCATGTGACCTGTCTTCCAAAAAGGGACATATGCAAATAAAGGCAGTTCCGGTTCATCTGAATACCGAGTAGTGAGCATGTTTTTTCCTCCGTATAAATAAATATAATTTACCGGTTATTAGACGCAAAATGGCTGTGCCAACAGGTTATGGGCCCAGGAGAGAAGCGGGTAACCGATGGAATAGACTGTACTATCTGAACACTGCGAACGAAGACAGCGATAGTTGTAACGGATGTTATGACATTCAAACCTGGCACTGACTGTCTGTATATGCCTGTACAAATATTTGAAGATAACCAAGGTGCCATTGCTCAAAGAACCCAGTGTGTCGTCAAAGATGCAAGCATGACGATGTACGATATCATTTCATTCGATCAGCACTCAGTGATGGCAAAGTGACAGTTGAGTATTGTCCCACAGAAGAAATGGTGGCTGATGTCATGACTAAACCAGTGACAAAATGTAAACTAGAAAAATTCAAAAGTTTTATGTTTGGTATGTAAATCCAACACAAGGGAGATGCAAGACTGTATCTATATGTTATGTTGTTATAATATACAGTATTGTACAGTATGAGAGCAAGTGGGGGTGTTAACGTTTGTATTGGGTGTGCCCTCACACTGCTCATGTCATGTGACCTGTCTTCCAAAAAGGGACATATGCAAATAAAGGCAGTTCCGGTTCATCTGAATACCGAGTAGTGAGCATGTTTTTTCCTCCGTATAAATAAATATAATTTACCGGTTATTAGACGCAAAATGGCTGTGCCAACAGGTTATGGGCCCAGGAGAGAAGCGGGTAACCGATGGAATAGACTGTACTATCTGAACACTGCGAACGAAGACAGCGATAGTTGTAACGGATGTTATGACATTCAAACCTGGCACGAAATCCTTGGTCACTGCAATTATGATGATGTTTCCAAATTGCAGAATGTAGTTTTGTTTGGGCTTCCGAAAGCGGATGATGTCAGGAAACAGTGGTTGCAATTTATTTTTTAACTCTGTTCCTGAGCATTATAACCCCAATTTGCTATTGTGTGCTGTGCATTTTACTGAGGAACACCTTTTACAGCTTCCACAACACGAGGGAGTAAAGTGCATCATCACGAAGACGAACTATAAGTTTATACGTGAAATTCCGGAGGGGACGTCGGATGGCGTCACGTGGGGACGTAATGACGTGTGCCATTAATCGAACTATGTACTACAACATGTAAAACGGGAACATGAAAGGAATATTCTAAGAGCAACTCATGTAAACACCATAATCGTAATATTGGCTTATTTAAAATAAGGTAAATACTTAGATTACTAATGTCCATGCAAACGTATGTTCAGATTATGTCAGTTTACAAAGACTGATTCATCCAGCCATCATCTATCACACCAAATGTTACTTCTTCAGTAAACTGGTGGCCTGCTGAGTGCAAAAACCACTGATCACCAACAATGTGTGCTGTCAGCCAATGCAAGAACGGGCTGTGGTTGAAGAGTGTGTCTCACTGCGTGCTGAAATGAAATGGCATGACTTTTCACCTGACTTTTCATTAGCGTCTTTAGCTGCTGATGTGTTTAGAAACTGATGTGACCACTGCATGAGGGGGAGGTTATGTTAGGTTAAAGCATATATCTGCAGATGTTTGTGCTGTATAAGAAGGTGCTATTCCTGCAGCTGTTACTCAATGACACTAAACTACCATTACTAAAAAAAAAAAAGACTGCTTATTCTAAACAGTACTAATCTAGCGATCTCTCCAGAGTGGCACTGTGCTAATGGAAGTCTAATGATTTGCTATCAGGCCCTGCTGAGGAAGCTGCTCCCTCCACTGATGCTTCAGCTGAGGGTAAATCATTTTGGTTTGGTCATGATTTTTAATTATTCCATTTCAGTTTGGATCCAGATGCTTTATAATGTGAGATACACCCTTCAGCAAATGACAATAAATGTTTTGATTGTGTTGTTTTGATTTTATTGACATAGCAGTAAAATCCTTGATGCATGTGAATGAATTGAACTCTGAATCCTAATATTCCTGCATATTTGATCATCAGCTGCACCTGTGGAAGAGCCACCTAAAGCACCAACACCACCTCCTCCAGCAGGTAAACTATTTATCCACCCAATCAATCAATCAATCAATCCATCCACCCATCCACCAAATCCATCCATTCCTCTAACCTATCCAGCCATCCACCCACCCAGTTTATCAACCCAATCATTCAGCCACCCAATCCTGCCATCACCCAACCGGTCATCCACCCAATCTGTTCATCCCCATCCATCTATTCATCCCCATCCATCCACCCATTCATCCATCCATCCATCCATCCATCCATCCACCCAATCAATCAATCACTCCAAACACCCACCAAATCCACCCAATCTCACCTACCCATCCATCCATTCGCCCAGTCAATTCATCCATCCACCCAATCTACTCCACCTATTCATCCATTCTTCTGCCCTGTCAATCCATCAACCAACCAATCAATCAACCAACCAAACAATCAATCTATCCATCCACCGAATCTACCCAGTCATCCTTCCATCCATACGTCCATCCATCCATGCTCCCAATCAATCCATTCATCCATCCATCCCCATATAAGCCATCTATCCACCCAGTCTACTCGCCTACCCATCCATCCATTCGCCCAATCAATCCATCCATGCACTCATCCACCCAATCCATCCATTCTTCTTTTAATAATTGCAATACTGTAGAAATGCATGTGTTTTTTTTCTGCTGTGAATTCATTGTATATATATATGTCTCTAATAAATGTGCAGTGCCCACAAGTGTCCCTCAGAACCTCAGTGTGGATGATGTCAATGACACCTCAGTCACTCTTAACTGGAGATCCCCAGAGAATATTGGCTCTGGACTGGATGGATATACCGTGGAATACTGCAGAGAAGGATGTGCGTATATCCTCTCAGTATTGCTGATAAGCTCTTTAGTCTTAGGGATGGTGTTTCAATCATCGTGCCTTCTTCTTGAAATTGAACCATGTTGAACTATCAGATGTCACCAGAAAAGTGGGTTATTCGACAGTCTGTTATAGCACCTGTCTTCGAAATGTCACCACAGACTGATTTATAGCCAGCTCCTGTAGGTCTCCCTATTAGGAAGGGATGCTTTCAACCAACTGTCACCGTATCTGCACGCCCCACATTTAGATTTGTGGATGTATAATAACATCACTGCTAGTGTGTTTGGAAATTCATATTTGATCTTTAACTGACTAGGTTGACGCATAACATCCACAAGCTTTTGTTATCAATATCGAGATTTTAGGTTTCAAATTTTTATGAATGAATAATGTATTATTAAAAAAATTTAAAGTATAATTTGTAATCACCTTATTGCCTTTACTAGTTGATTTTATATGTTCATGTGGTGACATTTTTTTAAAAGTGCAATCATAAAATAATTAATGTATTTTGCTAAAACTATTGAAAGTTTTGCTAAACATTTTTGTAGTTGTACATGGAATATAGCATTTTCCAATAATATTTCATGTCAAACTGCAGTTAAATATACCCTTTATTACCTAGTTATATTAAGTTATAAAGTTTGTTCATATTGTCAAAACTTTATTATGTATTACTATTATTTAAATATTATGTATATACAGTATATATATTAAATTTCCATAAATGGAATATATTGTCATATGAAGTAAAAACAAATATGAAACCTATTAGAAATTGGAACAATTTTAAATATTAACACACACACAAACACAAACACACACACACACACACACACACACACACATATATATATATATATATGTTTATGTATGCGTAATACATTTTTGAGATATGTTGTGTACATGTATATCCATCCTAAATCCCGTTAATAAACATTGATATTATATAAGTAAATAAAAATGATAGACGTATTTTTTGAAATGTATAACAAAAACATATATAAACATACAGATTTGTTGCATATATGTTGTTTTAATTAGCATTTTATTGTTTTAATTTGCATATATAAATAAAGTATATATTGTTGAAATATAGTTGCTACATGTAATACCATATAAACTATCATATGTACGAATACAAATCTTACTATGGCAATTTTATGAACTTATATCTTCATCTACCCAGAGAATGTACATATCTGAAAATTATGTAGCGCCTTATAGGTAACATATATATGGCAAAATAACTGAAATAGGGCAATCATTAAATTTTTGTATGGGGCCGGTCAGCCTCTAACCAGTTATACTGTATATACTTATATATATAAATATATTTATAATTATGAGTGCACTTTTGTTCAGATCTCTAGGAGGATTTAAAACTCATAGTTTCTCATCATCTGTCCATTTTTACACTTTACAGGTTCTGAATGGGTGGTTGCCAATAGTGAGCTCATTACGTCCAGCCGGTTTGTCATCAGCGGCCTGACAGCTGGAGACCTACTTAACATCCGTGTGGTGGCCGTGAATGCTGGAGGCCGCAGCGAGCCCGTCGCCCTGCCTCAGCCCGTCCCTGTCCGGGAGATTGTGGGTGAGTGTCTGTGCACTGTTGGTAGAAGGTTAGAGCTGCATGTGTAGGGGACAGATGAAAGTGACGGGACGTCTCAGCTTACTTCACAGGGTCTGATTACTTCATAGTGTTATACATGTTGAGTGTATTCTCTGAGCCCTGGCTCATGTGGCTTACTGGCCCAGCTCAGATGACAGTATGTGTTTCCCTACAGCGAGGGGAGCTGGTGGAAGATGGACGGCCTACTACAGCCTGTAGCTACCTCTCCTGCCCTCAATGGGCTCAACAGCTGTGGGTATATAAATCCCATTGGCTTGTGCCGACAAAAGCTTTCATTAGCATTTAAATTACAAACATGAAGACCTAAGGCTGTCAGTGCAAACTGAGCTCAAGGCTAAGAAGCACTGTAAACACATACTGTACGTTATTCTCCTAAACAGAGCAAAGGTACTTATATAAATGTGTATTTTAGAGAATTTCCGTCTAGTTAAAGGATTGAATGGACTGCTCTCGTTAAAAGTGTGACTTTGGCAAGAAGTGTTTATATTCAGGGCTTGGTTCTTTGCCCTTGCACTTGACCACTTTTATTGGGGGAACTTGATCTTGACTCTTCCTCTTTGCAAGTAAAACAAAGTTATTATTTGATTAGATCAAGCCTGATTTTTAAAATTAGGTTATGCAATATTCTCAACCTGGTCTAACACCATTAAATCCATTTATATATATATTACATGTTAAAATATATTATTGCATTAAGATTTGATATATTTGATTATTTTATTACATAGAATTATTTAATTATTAATTAATAATTACTAAACCATTAGTATTTAAATGTAAATATTTGAAGAAAAAAAATCAATTGAAATAAATACTTAATATATTTTTGTGAAATGTATATTATAAGGTTTTTCAGGTCAATACGCTCCCTAGTGACCATTGTGTTGTGCACTTATGAGCCACTGTAATCCTGGGACCATTTTAACCAGCATATTTTTCATCTTTTTTTTAATAACCCAAATAAGACCCTGGAATCAACTCATTCTTGTTACGTAATGTTGTATGAGGTCAAACAAGCCTGAAAGAAAAGAGATGTGCTAGCGTGTTGGCTTAGAGAATCAAAGAGTACGAACGGTTCATCCATTTGGGTTTAGCAGGTGAATGTTGTGGTGGATGGCAGCGATTCAAGACATCACACAGGATTACATATGAGGACACTGACTGTAAAAAGGGTTTGAAGACCAAGGATTAGGTTTTTCACACGTACAAGCTCAGGCTTTGGGTTAATTAGTTCAGGTATTGTAAGGTAAGCTGAAGGTGAGCTGAATGTGAACCTTCAAAGCCAACTGTGCGCTCAGAGTCCCATCAAGCAGTGTGTCAGCATGACAGCAGTTGCACTGGATCAGCAATGCGTGTCGCTCCACAGGTGTCAATTGTTTCTTGTCTTAATTAATGAACTTGTTGCTTTGGAGTCCTGGGAAGTAAGGACTAGAGGTCTGGAGGGCTAGATTTGGGAAGCTGTACCCTGATAGTAGCATGTGCTGTGAGAGGACAGCCAATAGAGATTTACATCAGAGAGGACAACGGCACAGTGCTGGCTGACACATGGTTGTTCAGGGGGAAAGTGAAACGTTTCATTAACGAACATGCTGGATTTACAGGATGAAAGATTTGATTCATGCCAATGTTTCTATTCTTACTAATTATCCAATAAATCAAACTTTTTAAAATAGGTGATGATCACATGATCATGACATGTAAGTTTGAGTTTAGATTTATCTAAAATAAATAAAAAAAATAAAATGGAGAAATTATTATTGTTTACAAATGAGTTCCACAATGACAATCCACTCGCCTGGAAAAAAACAATACAAGTAAAAAAAGTCACATAGACTTACAAAGGAAGAGGGACCCAGACAATATCTAGAGACTGAAATATCAGACTGAAGTAAAAAAAAAAATAACCACATAACAACAAATTAAAAACTCCTCAGAACATCTTAGAAAGGCCAAAGCATACTTCAGTTTTGGTACAAACTAGCATGTGTTTCACAGAATGCACAGCACTTAAAACTGTCCTCCATAGAGTGCTGCAGTAATGACATACTGTATTTATAAGTTCTTCATGAAACTATAGATGCCAATAAAGAAGCTTTATTTTTAAGTGTGTTGATGGTGAACTCAAACACAGATGGTTGACACATGCTGGAAAGTTTAGTTTTTGTCCAGTATCTGCACTATTTCTTTCCTGAGGGTATTAACAATAAAAATGTATTCACACTTGAAAAAATGGAGTTAGAAAATAGAAAATAGAGTTGCGAGTATCTCTTAACCGCCTCACACAAGCACTCATCAACCCATCAACTTTGATCAAACTTTTAGCATGAGTTTCTTGTTATTAAAAAGGAGAATAAAA